TAATTTTTTTAGACAGAATCTTACTATGTTGCCCTCGGTAGAGTGCTATGGCGTCACAGCTCACAGCAACCTCAAACTCTTGGGCTTAAGCAATTCTTTTGCCTCAACCTCCCAAGTAACTGGGATTACAGGCACCCACCACAACGCCCGGCTATTTTTTTTGTTGCAATTGTCATTGTTGTTTAGCTGGCCTGGACTGGGTTTGAACCCACCACCCTCAGTGCATGTGGCCAGCACCTTAACCACTGTGCTATGGGCGCTGAGCTGAGGGTTTATTTCCAATATGCAGATGGGAAAATGGAAAAAGTTCCATCCTTTGCCCAGGGTCATGCTAGCATGTAAACAGTAGCCACAAGACCACACCCGGGCCCTCATCCACTGGCACCACACTCCCTGCACAAACACTGGGACTGCTGAGGCAGCCAGAGTTTGGCCCCAGCAGCCAACTGGTACACAGTGAACCCAGTCCATGTTTGGTGGAGTGGGCAGCGGGCCAGGCTCCCCACAGCCCCAGGGTCCAGGGACTTCCCCCAGCTCTGTCCTCACTGCTCCTTTCCTGGCTGCCAGACATTATTTGTGGAGCCATCTTGATGGAGCTTTTGGCCAGGGGATGGCTCCAGAGGAAATGTTCTATTGGTGCCCACATCTTGGCCCGCACACCACAGTTCCTGTCTGGCCTCCCTTGCCCCAAGTCAACCCCTGACTTGCTGTTCTGCTGCCCACTGAAAGACCACTCTGGATAGGGGACTCTGACTTCAGCTAGGGCGGGGCAGGGGCTGAAGAAGAGCTGGTTCCACAGGCTCTTTCCTCTCAGACCAAGGTTGGCTTCAGTCCAGGTAGGATTCTGCCCTCATCTCCATGCCTGTGCCCTGCTCCCCACCCAAATGTCTTGGCTGAAGAGTGACTTTCCAGTTTACCAAAAGGGATTCACTCCAATCCATGGTAGCCCTACCTGGCCAGACACCAGGTACCCAGGGGAGTAAGAACTGAGTGAGGATGCACACAGGAGAAGGGCCAGGTGACTGGGGTGGGCAATGGGCAGTCAGCAGTCTGGGAACAGTGAGACACAACCAGTCTTCCCTGTGGGGAGACTCCTGGGGCCATGCGACAATGGTGCTCTTGCTTTTGCCTCCATGAACACCACGCCTGCAGCCCGGGGGAGCCCTTGGTCCCCATGCCTTGACCTTCCTACTCAATTGAATGTATTGGCTTGTGTGAATGTGGATCCAGTGGGGCCATCCACCAGAGTACCCGTGGGGCATGGAGCAGATCTTCCTCAGAGATTTGCTCCCCCCTCACTCCCCAGCCCCCCACTCCACCTTAGCATACATGCACAGCTCCCACCAGAAACAGGGTCTCTTTGTGGGCCTGATTTGCTTAGTGCCTCTAGAAGGCTCCTCAATAAACAAACCTTTCTTTATGGGGTGGTAGGTTTACTGGAGACAGGAAAAACAGCAGAGGAGGGGCAAAGGCCCAACAGGAAGAGGTGGCTACTGCTCACAGTGGGAGGTTTGGAAGCCCTGGAGATGCCTCCTAAGGAGCTATTTGTGAGGCCAAGGCAGTCTCATTCCTTTTATAAATTGGAGTACCCGGAGCACAGTGGCTGAGACTGGCAGGGATTAGGGTGGGGATGTAACTAGGTGAGCAACAGAGGTGGCACAGCTCCTAGCCTTGGAGATAGCCAGAGGGACAGGGAATCTAGGGGTAGAGGATGGTGCCAGCTGTGGCCGTGGCTCCCAAAGAAGGAGCCAGGGCAGAGCCCTGCACCCAGGAGCTCACCTTCTCCAGGTTGGTATTGTCCAGCCAGAGGGTCTCCAGGTATCTGCCAAAGGACTGGAAGGCATTGTCAGGGATACTTTTCAGGGGGTTGTGGGACAGCTTTAGCTCCTCCACCACCCGCAGCTTGCTCAGAGCAGCAGAGGGGTAGCTGGACAGTTGGTTCCTGTCCACGTAGAACTTGGCAAGGTTCTCCACATCATCCAGGGCGCCGGGCTGCAGGGAACTGAGTGAGTTTTCGGACAGGTAGAGCCAGCGCAGATCCTTGGCGCCCTGGAAGGCGCCTGGGCGTAGCTCTCGGATCTTGTTGTTGTTGAGCTGTAAGATGAAGAGGTTGACCAGCGGGGAGAGCAGCCCCCGGGGTAGCTCCGTCACCTTGTTGTGGTCCAGGTAGAGGTAGGTGAGCTCCGTCAGGTCGTCGAAGGCTCCAGCGCGCAGCACGCGGATATCATTGTGGGACAGATACAAGTAGATGAGCTGCTTGAGGCCACGGAAGGCGCCGGCGGCCACCTCGCGGATCTGGCAGTGCTGCAGGTGCAGCGACACGAGGTTCGGCATGGCCCGAAAAGAGTTGGCAGCCAGCACTGGGAAGTTGTTCCGCTGTAGATTAAGCAGCTTGGTCTTCTCTGACACCTTGGGGATCTTCTGCAGCCCCACCTTGTCACAGATGACATGCTGCAGTTCGCCGTGGCAGTGGCAGTTCTGGGGGCAGGCGGCCAGCGCTGGCAGCAGACCGGCCAAGAGGCTGAGGCTGAGCAAGAGCATCGGGCGGGCCATGGCCGGGATGCCCGGGGCCGGGGCTGGGGGCAGCGACGGCGGCGGGGCGCGGGCAGCGGCAAGTCCTGGGCTCTCGGGTCTTCTGCCCTATTTATACGGTGGCCCTGACCACAGCCCGCCGACTGAGCCAGCTCCTACGTGGAGCATCGAGGCCACCGGGCTTAACTCCCTCGCGTCCAGAGATGCGCTCCCGCCCTCGACGGGCAAGGGGGCGGGAGCCTTTCCCCTAGCTGGCGACCGCGCGCAGAGGCCTGACACCGCGGACCCTAAGTCCCGGCTCCCTGTTCCTCCTGGCTCTCAGATGACGCTCATCTCCCCACCTCTTTTCCCCAGGCTTTTCTTGGGGAACAGGGGGTGGTAATGAGTGTGTCTAAAGCCCCGCGCATACACCCGAGACAGGGAGGCGTTCCCTGAACTTATTTGTTTGCTTAAGTTTGAGCCTCCATGCACCTCCCCTCCCCACCTCGGCCAGGTGCCCTGGCCTCTAGGTGGGAGGAAGCGGGACTGGACCGCCGTTGGCGCGTCTAGCTGCGGTGCGCCAGCTGGCGGGGCTTTAATGGAGCTCTTGTGCCGCGCCGGCAGAGCGTGAGAGCCACTCTGGCGTCGGGCTCCCCCTTCTGGCTAGACACTCCCAAGCCAAACCTCCTTCCCCACCCTTGGGAGCTCCTTCCCCACCCTCGGGCTCCACCCCTCGCCACTGCTCCGCAGGCCTGGGCTTGGGTTTCTGTCCTCTACACCCTGTTCCCCATTTCCATGGGTGACGGCTAAGCAGAAAAGTGGGAAGTGGGGAATGCCAGTCTCCCCCCAGCATCTCCATCCCCTTATCTCTAACCCCAATGGTCAGGACCCGCCCCTCAGGGGTCTTAGGGTGGCAGCGAGGTGGCGCCAAGGTATACTTGGCAGAGTCCACACTTGAGCAGTCACCCTAGGACTGTGAGGACGGGTTGGGGTGGTGGTGGACAAGGACCAAGGGGCCAGGTCGGGGGACAAGCCCTTGACAGTGCAGGCTGCCAGATGCTAAGTTCTGCGGGCAGCCCTGCCCCAGAGGCCAGATTTCTATGTGCCCATTTGCCAGCCACGATGTGTGAATTCCTGTGGAAAGGAGAGGGTGAGCAGGCAGGGTCATGGCTCAGGCCCCAGGGTGAGCTCCAGGCTGTCTGGCACAGGGTATTGTCCCTATGTGGGAGAGGGTGAATGAGGGGGGCCGACCCCGGGTTGACCCAAACCCCAGCTGTGCCAGAGCCAAGCCAGCTTTTTCCCTGCTATGTAAGGGGAAGCTTGGTGAAGAGAGAGGGATGAATAAAGGTCCAGTGTCTCTGCTGACTGGAGACGACCTAGAACACAGGGGAGCCATCTCCTCTCCCCTTACCAATACCAGTAATGGGGGCCTGGTCTCCAGGCCGTGCCCTTCTCCCAAACACTTCTCTCCCCTTGCCTCTAGAATGGGGGTAATACTTGGCCTAGAACATCCCTTGATGGCATTTAGGCTCCACCAAGGCTGGCTCTGGTTTTTCTGTTGCTCAGGATGTTCCAACCACTGGAAGTTTGGTGGTGGTGGGGGGGATGCCACTGGCTTTTTAAACCCCTGCTTTAGCTGTATTTTTATTTTGATGGAAATAAATTTACAGGAAACTTTCCAGAGCTTGAAGGGCACCTACCCCAAGGTCAGGCACTTGTCCCAGGTTTCAGAGGGAAAGTTATGTCTGTGCCACTCCCAGCTGGGCCAAGGCAGGCTGGCTTTCTCATCAAGTTTATGGGGACTTCAGCTTGAAAGGGAGAGATGGGAGATGTGGCCTGAAATCAGAAGGGTGGGGCTGAAGCAGCCTGGGGATGTGGACAGAAGTCTGGGGTATTGGTAATGGTGGGAGCCACAGGCATCGATGTATGGCTGCTCCAGGGAAGCAGGATTGGGAGAAGAGAATGCCTTCCCTTTCCTGCCCTCAATTTTATTTCAGCTCTGGGGCCCCTGCAGATATCTAGTCTGTTCACCCATCCAGTGCCTCTGCCTCATGACCCTGACCCCGCCAGTGATGTCTCTGCCCCACCATCCAGTTGCCCTCCACTTTCCCCTTCTTTTATAAGTTCCTTCCTATTTCCCCAGGTTAGCCCATCCCATCCCTGTGCTGTCCCTGAGCTCCTACCCAACACCCTTTCTGGACCCTCTAGGTTGCTTATGGAACCACAGAGAACAGTCCTGTGACCTTCATGAACTTCCCTGAGGACACTGTGGAGCAGAAAGCAGAAAGTGTGGGCAGAATTATGCCTCACACAGAGGTGAGCCTCTGACCCAACCCCCCAGGTTCCACCTCCTGTCACTCTCTGGGGCACACTTCCCAGGGACATCTGTTTCTTTCAGTTAGAGACCCAAACAGCTCACTCAGAATACTGAGCACCTCCCAGCAGCGGGGTCTTGCTGGGCCTGGCTGGGGCTTTCTCTGTGGGCTGAAGCATGAAAGGGGAAGAGCTGGAACAGAGGCCAGGAGCAGCTGCCAGCTGAACTTCTCCGCAGCCTCCCTTCCTGTCTGAGGTGTGTTTTTGCCAAGCCCACTGTCTGTTTTGGGCAGTCGTGGTTGCCTCAAAGAGGAGCCAGAGCACAGAGATTTTTCCTACACAACCCTTCTTCCCTCAAACCCCACCCCCCTTGCCTCTCACTTGGGCAGAGTTCCTCTTTTCACTAGGCGTAAACACTTAATTTCCCAAGCAGCTTGTCCCTTTGGAGGGGGTCCCTTGTCCCTTAAAGGCTGCCTCAGAGCACATCTCAATCTCACATTCCCAGCCATCACCCCTTTCCTTCTCCACTATTGGTGCTTTATGCAGGCCAACACCTGGTTTCCCCTGCCTCTTTGTCTCCTTGCCCCTGTGGGAATCATGGTCCAACATGCCCAAGCAGCTGCTTTCCTGGGGCTGGCCTCTATCCTGGTGCAGATCCCCTGCCCTACCCTAGAGCCATCCTACATGGAGTGAGTAAGGAGAGACTGGAGGCCCCCCCCAGTTGTCCAACAGCCTCATTGCCACTCTTGCTGGGATGCTCCCTTGGAAGGTAGATAGGGCCAGGATTAATTCTACCCATTTCACAGATGTAGGCACTGAGGCACACAGAGGCTGCAGCTCATTTCTCTACTAGGCTTCCAGGCTCTGCCTCTTCTATTCACATGATGCTGCCATGCCACCTTCTTTGGCTTATTTGCTGCCTGATGAGAAGAGGAGTCTCCTCTCTATCACCTAGTTTATAATTCTTTAGCTGGCTTTGCACTCCACAGGCAGCTTTCTCTGTGGCAGCCCCCTACCCACTCCATTTCCTCAGCACCCCTGGCCTGGGCTGTTCCCTGACCAGTGATGGGTCTACTCTCGCCTTTGTCTCTCTTCTCTGGACTGGAATAGGAAGAGCCAAGAGGCCTCACTATTTGGGGGAGGGAAGACAAAGCTCCTCCCCTATTCCCAGGGGCCACCTATCCTGAAGCTGTCTTGTCTCAGGCCCAGATCCTGAACAAGGATGCTGGGACACTAGCAGAGCTGAACGCTCCTGGGGAGCTGTGCATCCGAGGGTACTGCGTCATGCTGGGCTACTGGGGCGAGCGTGAGAAGACGGAGGAAGTAGTCGGTCAGGACAAGTGGTACCGGACAGGGTGAGAAGGCAGGGCGGGATGGAGGCTCTGGCTGGACCAGGGGGGCCTGAGGTTGAGCTGGGAACATTAAACTAGCACAGGGAGGACATGGGTGTCCCCTTCACATCCTGGATACTAAATTTCCAAAATGTGTATGCACAGCGGGGCTAATCATCCATAACACAGAGGAAAATGACGAGGGTGGTGCACTACACCAGCGTTCACAGAATCTGAGCCCAGATTCCAGCACTCCTTTGCTAACTCGGCATATTCTCTCTATGCACCTCCCGTGTGCCAGCACTGTTCTCACCGCTGGTGGGCCGGCGGAAAGCTTTTACTTCTCACGGGTCTGGTGGAGGAAGACAGATGATCCCTGACGTGGATAAGCACCACAGAGAAAATCAAATCGAGTTATAAGAGACAAGGCAGCTGTGGTGTGGAGTTTCCCTTAGGTTGGGTGGTCAGAGAAGGCCTTTGGAAACGTTTGAGCTGAGACCCAGATGAAAAAATGAGGCTGGGCGCGGTGGCTCACGCCTGTAATCCTAGCACTCTGGGAGGCATCACTTGAGCGATGGGTGGATCGCTTGAACTCCTGAGCTCCAGACCAGCCTGAGCAAGAGTGAGACCCCGTCTCTATAAATGTGAAAAAAACTGAGGCAAGAGGATCTCTTGAGCCCAAGAGTTTGAGGTTACTGTGAGCTATGAGGCCATGGCTCTCTATCAAGGGCAACAAAGTGAGACTGTCTCAAAAACTGAAAAAGCAAACAAACAAACAAAAAAAAAAAAACGATAAAAATGAAGCCAGCCATGAAAAGTGTTATGTACAGATATATTGAGAGAGAGAATGTTATAGGTGTTGGTTTCTTTCTGTCTGCCTTCCCTACTAGACTGTTAAGTTCCAGGGACTGTGTCTTGTTCCTACTGTGTCTCCCAGAATCTAGAGCAGTGGAAGACACATAGTAGGTGCTTGATAAGGGAGCAAGTGAGCAGATGGGGCAGAGATGAGAGGCCATTGTGCCTGGGATTTCCTTACAGAGACATCGCCACGATGGACGAGCAAGGCTTCTGCAAGATCGTGGGTCGCTCCAAGGATATGATCATCCGGGGTGGTGAGAACATCTACCCCGCAGAACTCGAGGACTTCTTTCACACACACCCGCAGGTGCAGGAAGTGCAGGTGAGGCACCCAGCCTAGCAGAGCCCAGGTGGCACCCTGGGAGCGGGACACACCCATGAAGATGGTGATGTCCAATATTTGTCTCTGCCCCTGGAAGGTGGTGGGAGTGAAGGACAACAGGATGGGGGAGGAAATTTGTGCCTGCATTCGGCTGAAGAATGGAGAGAAGACCACAGCAGAGGAGATCAAAGCTTTCTGCAAAGGGAAGGTGGGAGCCTCAGCCCACCCCAACCTGATTGCTGCTCAGTTCTTCACCCACCTCCTCTTGCCAGCTAACCCCAGGGTGGGGGTTGCTCCACCCTTGTTCAAACTGAGTCTCCAGTCAGGCGAGCCCTTGGTGGTCCCCCACCTCTAGCCCCATGACCTTCCCAGCCTCACACCTTACCTCCCTTTGCTCTGCAGATCTCCCACTTCAAGATTCCCCGATACATCGTGTTTGTCACAAATTACCCCCTCACTGTCTCAGGAAAGGTGTGTAAGGTGGGGACTGGGAGGGGCAGGGCAAGTCTGGGATCTGGGGACCCAGGTGCAGAAAGCCTCCTTTGGCAATGGGCAAGAGAATCTGTCAAGAGGCTGGCGGTGGGGACACTGAATCACCCCTTCTGGGTCTTTCCTAGACTTATTTTAGCACTAACAGCCTCAGTCCCAGGCAAACCAAGACAGCTGGTCACTCTAGCAAAGGCCGAGCCTGACTCTCATGCTTTTGTCTTTCTTCTAGGTCCAGAAATTCAAACTTCGAGAGCAGATGGAACGACATTTAAATCTGTGAATAAAGGGGAGGAGGGCTCCTCTCAGGCCCTCCTCCTGCCCATCCCCCTTCCCCTGGTCTGTCTTTGTGATTTGGCATAAAGAGCTTCTCTGTTTTCTTTGACTGGTCTCTTACTGGTGTGCTGTCTTGGCAGCTACTGTGGGATGGAGAATGGAAGAGAACGAAGGGAAACTAGTACTTTCGGCCCTCCTGTTCCTTGTCAATGACAATGCTGAACAATTTGGTGTGCACTCTCAACTTAACACTTACCCTTGGTATCCCTTTGCAATAACAACCCAATTTTTAACTTTTAGGCTATACTCAACTTCTTTCTCACATCTTGCCAGATTAGCCCAGTAAGAAGTATTCTTTTTTTCTTCTAACAGTTTGGGATATGATTCAAATACCATCCTAACTGATTTAAAGTGTACAGTTCAGTAATTTTTAGTATATTTACAGATAGATGCAACCATTACCCCAATTTTAAACATTACCATCACCTCAAAAAAAAAAAAAAAACCCATACCCTTTAATTATCACTTCTCATCCTCCATTCCTCAGTTCTCCAACCCAATTTTTACTTCTCATTTATAGTAGAACTTCCAGAGTTGACCACCTCCCTACCAGGGAGGTTAACCACCTCCTTAACCTCTTCAAATAAACCTACTTTGCATAGATCAGACATGTACCACACGTGCGTATCAGTACAATGGTCTAGTTTCTTTTTTCTTTCAGAGACATGGTCTCACTTTATTGCCCTGGGTAGAGTGCTGTGGTGTCACAGTTCACAGCAACCTCCAACTCCCCGGCTTAGGCGATTCTCTTGCCTCAGCCTCCCAAGTAGTTGGGACTACAGGCACCCGCCACAGCGCCCGGCTATTTTTTGTTGCAGTTTGGCCGGGCCGGCTTTGAACCTGCCATCCTCAGTATATGGGGGCGGGTGCCCTACTCACTGAGCCACAGGTGCCACCCTGGCCTAGTTTCTTATGTTGACCACCTCCATATGTTTACTACTTTCTTACAGTCCATTGGGTGGTCAATTTATAGAGGTTCTACCGTATTTATTTATTTATTTATTTTTTGAGACACAGTCTCACTTTTATCACCCTTGGTAGAGTGCTGTGGCGTCACAGCTCACAACCTCCAACTCCTGGGCTTAGGCAATTCTCTTGCCTCAGCCTCCAGAGTAGCTGGGGCCACAAGCACCCGCCACAATGCCTGGCTATATTTATTTGTTTTTTAGCAGCAAACCTGGGGCTTCCCTGATGGGCAGAGCCAGATAAAGCAAATTGTAGCCTGACCCAAGAATTTAAAACAGCTGGGTTCCAAATAGCACATAAGTTCTCAGTTTGCAGGGATGGAAACTTTCCTCCTCCCTATGTGACCTGGTTTGGGAAGTTGTGTGGTTGGATGCTATAGTCACTGTTGACGGACCTTACCTTTTAAGCAAGCCTGCCGGCTGCAGCAGCAGCCTCCTCTTTAGATTTTAAGAAACGAACATAGGTTCAGGGTACTCTAACGGGCAACCACCATGCTAGGTGCTTTCACCTAGAGGTGCTTGCTTCCTCTCAAGATCTTTCCAACGGCCCTATCAACCCTATCGTTGGTCCCACTAAACAAATGATGAAACTGAAACTCAGGGGGTTCAGTGTCAGGTGCTCAAGGTCACACAGCTGGGATTAGAACCCAGCTGTCTGTGAAGTGGTTTCACTGGGCACTGGTTGCCATCTTCTGAGTCTGGTGAGGCAGACCACCCTACACAGTTACATGCTACAGGTTTATTGCTTATAGATAGGCTCCCCCTAAGGCCCAGGAAAGCTACTAAGGCAGATGGAGCCTCATTTAGGTATGCTCCACTTGTACTACAGCTAGGGGACCGCAGAGATCAGCCCATGCTGTGTTTTATACCGTGGAGCCCTATGACATTTGGGCTAAAGCTCTTAAGTTCATCCTCTTTCTAGAGGAGACCAGACCAGAACATGGCTGTTCTGGCCAGTCAATCCTTATCTCAGGATGTTGCATTTTCAACACTTTCTACGGTTTTTCTTGAGAACTGTAAGCTGGAAGGGAGTTGAGAACTGCGTTGGTCCAAGGCCACTGGGAGAAGTCCTGCAGTGTCTGACTCCAAAGGCCATGATCTTTCCAGTTCATGGGACACTTCTTCAGGTGTCAGCTTTTCCAGCCCTTCACCTGCACCCAGTCTCACCTACATACACCTCTGACTCTCCACTCAGCATGCCACGGCTGGACAAATCTGGTCAGTGTACTCTCCTGGACAAGCAAATTTCCCCTGGGTTTTTCTGCTCCTTGGAGATCCAGCCCTGGCGCTGACTCCCACACCGTCATCAGAGACCGCCCATCATGACACTGAGCACACTGGCCTGACATCCCCAGGCACTGAATTAACTGCCTGTCCCAGCTCGTTGATTTGCCTCTCTTCTGTCAGACAGAAACCTGGTCTTTTTTTTTTTTTTTTTAAGAGACAGAGTCTCACTTCGTCGCCCTTGGTAGAGTGCTGTGGTGTCACAGCTCACAGCAACCTCCAACTCCTGGGCTTAGGCGCTTCTCTTACCTCAGCCTCCCGAGTAGCTGGGACTACAGGCGCCCGCCACAACGCCCGGCTATTTTTTTTGTTGCAGTTTGGCAGGGGCTGGGTTCAAACCCGCCCTCGGTATATGGGGCTGGCGCCCTACCCACTGAGCCACAGGCGCCGCCCCAGAAACCTGGTCTTATGCACTTAAATGTCCCCAGCGCCCAGCTCTGAGCCAAGACACATAAAATGTGAAGGAACTGACTGAACGGACTAAGAGCTCCTGGATGAGTCAGGGAACTCGCTCCGGACAGAGTGCCAAAAAGCCAGCCAACAGCCTGCCTGCCGCACGTCCTTGGAAACCGACAGGAAGCGGGGGCGGGTGCACCAGTGCCCGGCAGGTGGCGCCACAGACCCGCGGCCCAGGGCCCTCTCTGCGCGACGCTGGACGCGGCGCGCGGTCACGCAGGCCCTTTTCCGCCGAGCGGCCCTCTGGTCTGGTAGCTGCACACACCGCGGTCCTGGGCGCGTGTCAGGCTCGGATCCTTGCCTCGTGCCGCGTCTGGCGCCATGGCTCTCCCCGGAACCCGGGCCCGAGGCTGGGCGGCGGCGGCCCAAGCGGCACAGCGGCGCCGCCGCGTGGAGGGCGCGGGAGGATCCCCACGTCCTGAGCCCGAGAGTCGGCGCGCGGCGCTTTACGTGCATGTGAGTGGGGCGGTCCAAAGTGGCGGCTTGTCCCTCTGTGAATCCACCTGCAGTCCTTGTCAATCCCCAGATGTGGTCTAGGGTGAGACCCAGTGTCTTGGCAGGGAAATGGCTTGGTCCAGAAACCCGGTGTCTGGCATTTTTCAACTCAGTGACCTTAGTCAAGTGTGATATTGAAGTGGGCATAATAACCCCAGTGCGACCTGCTTTGGGGAATTGTGTGATGCTGTAGCCACGGTTGATGGATCTCAATGGGGAGGAGGAAGTGTGTGCCTGAGCCCTTGAAGTGGCCAGGGCAGCCCAGAGTCACCCCTCACCCTCCGCATACACCCTCTCCCCATAGTGGCCCTACTGTGAGAAGCGCTGTAGTTACTGCAACTTCAACAAGTACATCCCCCGCGGCGTAGAGGAGGCTGCCATGCGGAAGTGTCTGGTGACGGAGGCTCAGACGCTGCTGCGGCTCAGCGGGGTGCGACGGTGTGTACTGAGGGCGATAGGCAGGGTCTTGGGAATTAATTTGGGAGGGTAAACAGAACAGATACAAAGGGCTCCCTCGGATCTCATCTCCATCCTCATCCAACAGGGTGGAGTCTGTTTTCTTTGGTGGAGGAACTCCCAGTCTGGCCAGTCCTCACACTGTGGCTGCTGTCCTGGAGGCGGTGGCACAGTCATCCTACCTGCCTGCAGACTCCGAAGTCACATTGGAGGCTAATCCTTCTTCGGCCCCAGGCTCCAGGCTGGCGGCATTCGGGGCAGCAGGGGTCAACAGGTTGTCCATTGGCCTCCAGGTAACCCATTTTACCCTCCCCAGCCCAGCGTGCCCACACCTTCAGTGTTGTCTCCATTCTGGTGGCATTCATTCATTGGGCAAACATTTACTGAGCTCCTTCTGGATGCCAGAGCTTATACACAGTAGGCCCTGTGGTGACACTTTTGTAACTGCTTAAATGTCTCCTGCTCTGCTAGACCACAAGTTCCACGGGGAAGTGATCAGGTGTGACTTCTTGTATTCCAAGCACCTGTCATAGTGCTTGGCACATAGTAGGTGCTCAAAACTGATGTGTTACATAATTGATGACGGGGAGGTAGGCACATAGGTAATTGCAGGATGGTAAATGCTGCCTACAAAGAGGGTCTGTACAAAAGTTTTTCGGAGGACAGCGTGAAGGGCAGTTTAGTCTGATGAAATCACAGAAACCTTCCTGGAGAAGGTGATGCTTGAGTGAGGAGGATGAGTTCACCAGGTGAGTGGGTGTGGAAGGAAAAGACACGGGATATGAAAGAAGAGGCTTGCATGTTTGGGGGGAGCTCTGAGTCATACCTTGTGGCTAGAGACGAGGCAGCAAGGTAGGGCCCAAAACCCTTCAGTCCTTACTAAGGAGTTTGGTTTTTTCCGAGTAGTGATAAGGCAGCCATTGAACATTTCTACCTAAGGAGAAACCTCCTTCTCTCTGGTTGATTTCTGATATTTCCTTTGGGTTTTGGGGTCATGGGCTTTGTCCTGATGGTATATATTGACAGAGACACATCATTTCTAAGATATTATTGCCCAAAGTGCATATGTTGAATCTAATCATGAGGAAACATCAGGAAAGCCTAAGTGAAGAGACATTACAAAAAAAAATTTGTGGGGCAGTGCCTGTGGCTCAGTGGGTAGGGCGCCAGCCCCATATACCGAGGGTGGCAGGTTCAAACCCTGCCCCAGCCAAACTGCAACAAAAACATAGCCAGGCATTGTGGCAGGCACCTATAGTCCCAGCTACTCGGGAAGCTGAGGCAAGAGAATCGCCTAAGCCCAGGAGTTGGAGGTTGCTGTGAGCAGTGAAGCCATGGCACTCTACCCAGGGGGACAGCTTGAGGCTCTGTCTCAAAAAAAAAAAAAAAA